ACTCTGTTTCTTTTAACTATTCTGTCTGAGAGAGAGCTAAGGATTCTAGGTTGAGTTTCTATCTCTTTTGCTTCTTTGTTTCTTTTCGATTTCCTTAGGGTTTGTACTTCATTTCAGGGCTTGTTCGTTGGTTCTGAAAATCAATGGTCTTAGCCTCTTTTCCCCTCTTCTTTTATAATGCTTCAAGTTCAGTAGAGAAGAGTTCACAAATTGCAAAGGCCTAACTACAAAATGATAATCATTTAGGACTCTATTGTTTTTTAGAGTTTGCTCAATCGAGATTCTTGGCCTAAGTCACAAGTGAGATAACAATTCAACTTGAAGAATCATCAAAAGTTCCAGATTATAACCGGAGGATGTGTGTGCATAAACATAGCACTTGAGTTTTCGGTGTGCAACCAAAACAGAACACAGAGTCTAAGAAAGATAGATGTCTCAAGGCAATTATGCAAAGAGAAAAGTTTCAAGGAATCTTAGATCGAGAAGGTTTCAGAGGCTATAGATCTTCAAGGTTACATTAGCTGACTTTCGACCGGAAACTAAGCAATACTTCAAGTAGCTGAAGCAAGTTCCGGGAGAGTTTAAGATTGGATAATCATAAGGTTTAGTTTCACACATTTATCTAATCAAACTATATATAGGTACAAATATATATACATATGCATTATTTTTGTTTATCAATCATATATTTATTAACATTATTAACAAATATTTATTTAATTTCTTTGTGATATATTCTGGATTGTTGTATAGATCCTTCTATACATAAGATTTCAGATGGTCATTTATACATTCTTGTGTTTCATATGATTCAATATTTGTTTTATATATATATATTGCAAACTCTTTGAGAACTATGACCTTAACAAAACTAGAGCAATTTCAACACCTACAAAGTACCAAACGCAAGGAATGTTATACACTTTGGACTGTTATAACTATTACGATGATGATGATGATATATATATATATAGAGGATAGAACGGAATATAACATAGCATAAGCATGAAGTCGTCAATATAATATTTTACATGATAAAATGTCTTGAAAACATTCCATACAATAGGTCTAAGCAGCAAGCTACTGAACACACACAATCCATAGTTCTTAAGGTTTTTAAAGTACGTAATTTTAAGAAACATTAAAGTTTTAAGGTTTTTTAGCAGCAGCAACAATCTTGTGCTTTATAAGTAGTGATTAATTAGATAGATAATGATATCACCAGCAAACCTTTTTCAACCCTTAGTTTATTCAAGAAGGTGAAAGGTAATGATGTCAGAGGCAGAGGGTGCATGAAGGGCATGGTTGGGGTAATGGTGATGATGGTTCTGGTGATAACGAAGGGCGTAAGCACGTGACCCTTCGATTTGATATCCAAGAACCGCATCGTAGTCTCCTCCATTGTCTACTAGACCATAGTGAGGATCTTCTGCTCTTAGTTCCTATTTCACCAAAACATATTTGAAGTGATCAATGTTTCTAGTCCAATAAGTAAGTACAATGATTAAGGAAAACATATGAATATGAGTGACTCAATCTCCATAGCATTTATATACTTTAATTGGCTCCATGCTTGTATTATGTCTAAAACAACAAGGAAAACCAAAAAAGAGGTAAACAAGAGAGATTACCAGCTCATGTATGAGATTCTTTTGTATGTCTTGTTGACTTTTGTTCTGCAATTGAGTAAACCACAAGAGAAACTATGAATATACTGAAATGATTAAGACTCTTAAGTGTCTAATCAACTTTTATTTCATTTAGCTTTTATGCCATCACTATAATATACGTTTGCTTTTTCCTTCATCCATTAGCCTAAACACATAAACTTTCCAAAAAACAAGATACTGAAATCTTGATAAAAATAGAGCTACTAATTTCCCTATTAAGCTATACTTTTAAGCTTGAAACACGATATTGTTAGAAAAAATTGACTATAAAGTTATGTTTGAAAAATTGGAAGCCCCAAATAATTATATGTCTTTCAATAGGTTCTATTAATATGCTTCTCCTAAGAAAAAGTTTTATCAACAGTTTTAGCAAGTGCATAATTTCAATTTACACAAAATTATGGAGACAAAYAAYATGATAAAATGCAAAAGTGAGTGAACATAGAAGAGTATGTAACCTTTTTCTTGGTGGTCTCGATCTGATTCCCAAGAGATTTAATCTGCACGAACATGTATATATCGATTATTAAAAACCATCACAAACAGTATCCAACAGTAAACTAAATGTTTCCCTTTTTAACACCTAACACAACAAAAGTCATTTATCTAATATTAAACTCAAGAAATTTTTAAAAACCAGAAAACGAAAAAGAACATGTATAGATAAGTGAAAAGACTATGAATTAAGAGAACCATGCGCTCGCGAACGAGTTTGAAAGTGTTTTCCATTTCATCCTCAAGACGACGAAGCTCCTCAATATCAAGTTCGTCCAAACACTCACCTAGCCTTTGCCTACAAGTTTATAGATTTCTTAATTTTTGTTTTTGCAATTTAAAGTGATGTTTAAGAGACAAAGATGTGAGAGAGGAGAAAGAAACAAAATACTTGATCTGAGTCCGGAGATTTCTATTTGTCTCCAACAGTTTCCTCTTGGTTTCTTGCATTCTCTACAACAAACATAACACAAATTTAACCCCAAAAATAAAATAATACACATATCAACAACAAGAAGAAAGATCTCAAATAGAAAGAACAAACAAAACCTCATATTGAGTGCTCCAAACATCAACATCAGAAACTGTTTGGTACAGATCTACAATCTCCTTCGTTCTAAACCCAACAAAAACACACAAACACACAATAAATAAAAAGAATCGTAATTAATCAGAAGAAATTAGAGAAAGCAATTAAAGAGTTGTGTGTTTGGAGGAGAGAGAGAGAGATCTTGTACGTACGTGGTGTTAGGGCTAATATACTCATGAAGCTTGTTGGAGCTAGAGAACATGATAATCGAAACCCTAGCATCACACAAAACCGTAAGCTCGTGAGCTTTCTTGAACAAACCATTTCTTCTCTTCGAATACGTCACTTGTCTGTTTGTCTGATTCTCAATCCTCTTGATCTGAATCTTCCCTCTCGCCA